CGCGATTACGGAGCAGATGACGCTCACTGCAAGCGAATTGAGGGCATGGGCCTGCAAGAGGCAAGAGGTCGCCCGGAGCACCGAGCGAGCTAATTAAATCGCTTGACTGTGCCTTCATCTGATTTGTGCAGCATGCGTGTGTGCCAACCTGCAGCACGCCTTCCTTTCCTTCCCCCCACACCCTCGCGACAGACACACAACGCCGCGCCGAGCTGCTGCCGAACAATCTGCCAGCGGAACACCGTCCACCCCAGCACTTTGAAATCGGTCGCCCGCCGACGTTTCCCTCCTCCCCAGACCGTCGACGTCGTAATTCTGCCACGGCGTGAGATGGACCAGAAAACAAACGACAACTCCCCACCTATGGCCCCACGGGACTTTGCGTACACCGAGAGATCTGCCGTGGGTTTTTGCGTGTCAGACGCTCCCGCCCCCGAGGGGCCGTAGCGCAGCATGAACGGCAGCAGGTGGGGCGGAGTCGTTCGATTTCGGGCCGATGGGAGACGGAACTCTCGATCTCACTCTCGGGAACGGCTCCTCTAGTAGAAGAAACACCGGAATGAACCTAGACTTCTGGCGCTCCGCGCGGAATTATTGGATCTGCGCTGGACCCCCCTCCCTGGCGCGCGGAGCGTGCCAGGCGCGGCGCCGGAGGCGCCGCCGAGAGGGCCCCGGCGCGGATCCAAGAAACCCGCGCGGAGCACCGAACGTTTCTGCGTATGCCGTTTTTCTCCTTCTTTCGAGTGCAGGAGCCAGGCCCCCCCCCCAGAGGAGCGCCTCTTGGAGGCGGAGGTGCCCCGAAACAGCAGCTCCCTGCAGGGCATCGTCGCTCGAGGCGGGCCCAAGGCCTGAGGTCCCCCTTGCCAGGCGTTCCGCCACGGGCCCCTTGGCCATCCTGTGGCCGCGGGCGGTCCACTGGCGGCAGTCGACGGGCGGTCCACTGGCGGCGGTCCACTGGCGGCGGTCCACTGGCGATCTCCTGGCGGCGCCCCTTTGCTGTTCCTCGGCGGTCCACTGGCGGCCTTCCGCGCGAAGGCTGAACGCCCGCGTCCCACACAAGGGGCGCCTAACGTCGCGCTCCGCGCTACGCGGAGCGCGAAGCGCTGCGAGCTCTCGCGCCGCCCCCCAACCAGAGCCGAACCGCCGAAGCGCGGATAACTTCGCGCCCTCGAGGGCGCCCTTGCTAACAAAGCAGACTCGGTCAACGTCGAATCGGGGAATCAGATTGAATCGGACTGTGCGTCGGATCGGGCTGCGTCGGCACGGAGTCGGAATCGAATCGGATCGGCCGAGTCAAGATGAACAACAGCGCCATGCGAGCATCGGGCCGCATCGGATCGTTTGAAAATCGGCGTCGGATCGGATCGAGCGGGCCCAAACCCATCTGGAGTCGGACCGATCGGATCGGCATGAGCCCTGCACTGGGGGGGGGGCAATGATCAGGTGCCATGGTATCTGCCTTGTCGACGTGGGCCCTGGCTTCTGACTGCACGTGGGCCACCCCATCTTGGACAACCTCAATTCGGGGGCGCGCAAACACGGATTAGCGATCCATGGATTTGGCGCGCGGTCGCCAAATCCATGGATCGAGGGAGGTGCCCTCCCCAAAATGCGGCTGGTGCCGCCTAGTTCGACGGCGGAAATCCGCGATTTCCCATGGAAACGGGACCCGTCGTTAATACACGCCCCCTTGATCCATGTTTGCGATCGCCTAATCAACTCTCGGGGGCCCCCAGCGGCTGTCGACCCTCCCCTTCCGTTCTGAAGTTGCGGCGCCGTCCGATCTTCGCGGCGCAAGGCCCCAGACGCAGGCCCTGGGAGAGCGTGCAAGAGAAGGCCCTCCGCGGAGGCCGCACAGGAAAAACCCAACCGAATCGACGACGAAACCGAAGCCGAGCTGAACCGACAGGCCGCAGGCAGCCCAGAAGGGGCGCAACAGCGCACCAACCAACCGAGCCGCACCGACCGCATGCGACTGGCCTTAGGCCGGGCATGTCCCCCTACAGGCGGGTTTGATGTTTGACGAAAAATTAAACATAATCCAAACAATACCCCAAAATACTCACTCCAAAAATTGTCCCCAGAGTATGTGTTGAACCATTTTTGAAAATACGTCCTGTAGAGGGACACGCCTGACTTAAGACTGGCCGCAAAGCAACCGAACCGACGGCACAGCGGACCTGCTTCCCAGATCTCTTGACGTCGTGTTGGTTTCACGCCGTGGACGCTCAGAGGCCTAAACCCCTTCCCTGGGGCCGGTTTCATCCCGGGTCCTTCTTTGACGGATCCAATGCCCCGCGAGGCCGAAGAAGCCGTCAAGCATCCTTGCGCCGTCGATTTCTCCTCACAGCGAAGATCTTGCCAGGATTGCTCAGCCGAGAAGGCGCAGACGACTGGCTGGCATGATCTGGGGCTTCCCCCCTGGGAACAGCAACCGGCGGAACACCTCCAGGACCCTCTGCCCACAGGGCCCCGCCCCCTCGTGGGAGCGGCGGCGACGGCGCGGCGCGCGCGGAAGGGCGGCCGCCATCCGCGCGAGAGGGCCCGGCTGCCAGGGGGCCCTCGGTGGGCTCTCGGCGAGCCCTGTGAGCTCTCGCGGCGGAGGGCCGGGGCAGTGCCATTGGGGGGGGGGGGGCACCGCTCAAGCAGTGGCGAAGCGCCCTGGCTCGCCTATAGCCCTACCAGACCATGTTCTGAGAACTGTCTGTGGCTCCCGCGAAATGTTCCTAGAACGCTTCTGGCTGGGACTGCCTTGTTTGAACCCATCGGGTTTCTGTTCTAAGAACATCGTTTCTGTTCTTGGAACATTTCTGGGTTCCCAGAAGATTTCGTGGTAGTATCGGAATGCCGGGACGGTTGGTCCCTGCTGAAACCACGGTGCCTCTCTGCTCGGCTGCGCGTGCGGCGTGACAGCCAGGCAGCAAAGGGCCGCTGGTGCGCGGCCTCCGGGGCCGCTCTGCGCCTAAGTGCTGTGCGTCGGCAGGCGGCCCCCGCGCTCGGGCCTGGCTCCGCGCCGCGCCCCCCCCCCCGGGAGCCGCGCCCTTCGGGGCCGCTCCGGCGGAGGGCCCCGCGTGTGCGCATCGTGGAACCGATCTCTGCCCCCGTGGGCGTGGCCTTGGCCCCACTGGCCGAGTTCACCCCCCCCAGATCCTGGATTGGGCATGGGCTGCTCCCTCCGAGATTCGAGGCGTACATCTCCAAACTGGGGTGGTGGGATGGCGGGGATCGCGATGGGGATGGGGACTCCGCTCTCTGCGAAGGGGCCCGACGCAACAATGAAGATTCTCCGGCGCAGTCCGCGAACATGCGCGACAAGAACCGAGTGGAACCGTGGGGTCTCTCGGAACCCTGGCAGGACACCGCTGAAAGCTGAGCTGAGATCAGCATGCGGGTGACGATGTTTCAAACGAAACCGACCCAGACATGCGACGTCCGGATCTTTTCAGAGCCTTCCGAAGGCCTTCTCAAAATGCTGGGGGGCTTCCCAGCCTTCCGAGAAGGCCTTCTCCTTCTCACTTCCCCCCAGCGTCAGGTCGGGCCTGTCCTCCTACAGGGAGACCTTGGACGAAAGATGAAAAATAATCAGAAACTACCCCAACATAGCCAACAAAATGCAAAACAAATCGTCCCCAGACGATTTTTTAACTATTTTTGGATATTCCTCCTGTCGAGATGCGGGACTGGAAAATGACCACAGCCACTGCTTCTTGTTTGCGCAGCCTTCCAGCCGGCCGAAAAAGAAGCAGTGGTTGTGGTCATTTCCCTGGTGCCAGGCTCAACGGAAATGGCCACAGCCGCTGCTTCGTTTCTGCGGGCTGGAAGGCGGCAACAAAGGAAACGCAGTGGCTGTGGTCGTTCTCACGCCCCGTAAGAGATACACGCCCGACTGAACCCCAGCTCTCGCCGCCGAGATCTGCTGGGGCAGCCGGAAGCACACGCGGCGAGCGCGTGCGCGCGCCGGGGCGCTGGACGACGCCACCCCCGGCGGCCTCGCGCCGGGAGGCTCGGCGGCTCAGAGGCGGAGCCCCGGGGGATGGGGCCCTTATATGGACGAGGAAGGGGTCCAGGGGTGGACTCCCAGACACGATCGCGCCGTGGAAAGAGATGAGGACGGGAGGAGGTTTTGCCCGTCTTCAGGCCCGGGGGGCCCTCGCCGGGCCTCGGGGCCGTCAGCAAACGACTCGGGACAAAAAAGACTGGTCCCCGGGGAAAGGGTCGGGACTTCCAGGGACGCCGCCCTGAAAAAATCTGGACGTCGCATGCCTGGGCTTGGGACCCCACCCCTCGGGACCCCGGTTCTGAACCACCGGGAAACTGGTTTGGCAATCTCTGGCGTGCGGGGGCCGCGGGGCCGTCCAGGGGAGGGGGTCTACAGGCCTCCGGGGGCTCACGCTGCGCACGACACCGCGGCGTCGGAGATCTGGCCCCCGCGCTGGACGATGGCGAGCCACGCGAGGGGCCAAGCGCTGGGAGGACGTGCGGCCGGCCGCGCCCGAACCCAACTCTCGCCAAGGCCAGCCACGCCATGTGCGTCTGGCTTCCTGGTGCAGATCCCCGGTTGGGAAAAGCCGAACAATACCGATACCGCAACTCCCCAGACCTCTCCCGGGGTGCGTTCTGATCAGGATTTCGAGGCGAGTCCAGCGGTGGCGACGAGGGCCTCCCAGGAGGCCCAAAAAGGGGAAAACGGGCGAAAGGTGGAGGTATGGGTAACTTTTCCTCCTCTGATCGGTGGTCAAGTGAGCGCTGGCGGTGACATCGTGTGCAACATCCACCAGCCTCCCCAGACATGCGACGTCCTGATTTTTTCAAGACGGCGTCCCTGGAAGTCCCGACCCTTTCTCCGGGGCCGGTTTTTTGTCCTGAGTCGTTTTCTTGAAGGCCCCGAGGCCCGGCGAGGGCCCCCCGGGCCTGAAGATAGCCCAAAACCTCCCGCCCTGATCCTGTTTAAACGACGCGATCATGTCTGGGCCAGCCTCCGTATGACGCGTTCGGTGTGTCAACACGCCAGTCGGAGGCGGAGGCGAGGAGGAGGAGGAGGCGGAGGCGGAGGAGGAGGAGGAGGTGGAGGAGGAGAGGGAGGAGGAGGAGGGTGGAGGAGGAGGAGGAGGAGGAGGAGGAGGAGGAGGAGGAGGAGGGGAGGAGGAGAGGAGGAGAGGAGGAGGAGGAGGAGGGTGGAGGGTGGAGGAGGAGGCGGCCTCACGACTGGGGCGAGAGAGGTCGCAGGCACGGGGGCCGCCGGGCCGGACGGCCCTCGCGCGCCTGCCCGCCCACGGGGCCTGCACGCCGAGCCCGCAGTGAGGCAGCTGTGGAGGTGGAGAGCCGTAGCGGCGCGCCCGCACCCTGCAGTCGGGCATGTCCCTCCCCAGACATCGGGCGTCTCGAAAAAATCGAGACAAAGGTTTTTCTTCGTTCTCGGCCTCTGGAGGCCCTCGCCGGGCCTCGGGACCGTCAAAAAACGACTCGGGATGAAAAACCGGTCCCGGGGAAGTGGTCGGGAGGTTGGGGGCCCGTGTCTCAAAAAAATCGAGACGTCGGATGTCTGGGTCTACAGAAGGAGAGTGCAAGAATAGTCAAAAACAAATCATCTGGGCACGATGTTCTACCATGTTTGGATGTGTTTGCAAACGTTCTGGTGCTTCGCTCTCGCAAGATCCGCCTGTAGGAGGATATGCCCGACCTAGCCGTGCCCGGGGAGGAGAGAAACGCGAAAGGCGGGTGCAGGAGCAAGCAAACGAAGGCAACAGAGTTAGGTCCCAGAGTTCGCGCTTGCGCAGACCAGCTCGGATGGACGACACCCGCACACCATGAATTGGTGGTCGCTGGTGGGGGAAAACCTCTGCACTGAGAGGGCCCACATAAAATCCACGTATGTCAGCCCAGCATACGTGAGCACAGGCTTGTGAAGGCAAGACCGCAGAAACAGTGCGACCGCAGTGTGCTGAGCAACGGTCAGGAGGCCATCGCAGAAACGCACTCCTTGTACTTGTCGGCGTCCTTGAAGGGATGGAATGCCACGACGCCCGGGCCCGAGCAGGAGTCCCAGCCCAGTGGGGGCTCGCAGTGATCCTCCGTGAGCAGGCGCTGCTCGTACTCCCTCCGGACGCGCAGCAGCTGCAGGCACTGGTCGAGGTACATGTCCTCGCCCCACTGGCAAGGCCCGCCGCACTTCTCCGCGAGCTGCGCCGCACAGGTGGCACGCCCCGCAGCGAACACCTCCACCGCGTTCCTGGGCGAACGATGGAACCAGCCTCGAGCTGACCCCTGCCCCTCAGACCGACATGCCGAAAAGCAGTGACAATCTTGGGGGGCGTCCTCAGAAACCGAGGGAATCCTCAAGATCGGCATCGGGATACGGTGATGCCAATCATCGGGAAAAAAGGGTATGTCTCAGGCTGCTAACACTACGCCCCCAGTGTCGCTTCTCCTCGGGACCTCTCCGGGACCGCTGCGTGGCTGGGATGCCGAGGCGGCTTCCGCCGTGGCGACGAGGGCCACCCAGGAGGCCAAAGACAAGGGCATGATGTTGGGATCGGGATGTGCTTCTCCCCTGAGCTCCGCGACAGCACCTCCAGGGGGCCGTGCAGGCCAAACATGCAGTTGTTCAGGTAAACGCCCTCTGCGCTATCAACGCGGCTTTGCAGCAGGCTCCGAAGTCGAGTCGGCGAGAAAGCGCAGTCCGCGTCCACCTTCACAGTCCAGTCGTGGCGGCTGTATCTGTCCAGCTCGATCACCTTGGCCCAGACGGTCAAAAAGATGTCCGTGTTCATCGCCGTCTGGAACTCGCCTCCGCTCGTGCACTTGAGGTCACTGTTGACCTTAATGGCCTGAACCTTGTCGGCGATCTTCAGATTCCGGTTGGTGATCACGGCGTACTCGTCACAGTCGAATAAGCTGATCCCCTCCTCGTACTGCATGTCCAGCAGCCCGGCCTCGTAGGTGTCGGGCACCATAAGCGCGAAGCAGTAGAGCGACTGACCAGCGGGGCGTTCCACCGCCTCGATGCTGCGGCCGACCTGCGTGGGCATGCCAGACGTAAAGTCCTCGTTCGAGACCTTTGTGATCGTGGCCCTGGGAGACGCGCCCTTCAAGAAGCACGCCGACTCGGGCGCCTGGAAGCTCCAGGCCATGCACTCCTCGTTGCCGGCGCACTCCTGACAGCACAGCTCCGCACTCCCCACCTCCGACACCCTCTCCAGGTCGTTGCCGGGGTAGTCCACGCCGTCCTCCACCTGGCCGCACTGTGCGGCGGTGGTGCTGGCGGGCGCCTGCAGCACCGGGGGCGGCGGCGTGAACACCGGGACCACGGCCTGCGCCGGCGGTGGGCTGCTGGAGGCCTGCGGGGCTTGATGGAAGAGCCCCGCCAGCAGCCCGCGGATGTTGCTGAGGACGCCGGGCGGGGGCTCGCCCTGCCCAGGCGCCGGGGCGCCCAGGCCCCTCGGAGTCTCCATGGCCGTCAGGGGAGGGCCACCCTGACACCCGCCGATGTGGTTCTTCAGCCCGCGGTCCTCCCCCTCCTCCTCCTGCTCCTCCTCCTCCTACTCCTCCTCCTCCTCCTCCTCCGCGTCCTCCTCCTCCTCCTCCTCCTCCTCCTCCTCCTCCCTCCTCCTCCTCCTCCTCCTCCCTCCTCCTCCTCCTCCTCCTCCCCCCCCCCTCCTCCTCCTCCTCCTCCTCCTCCTCCTCTCCTCCTCCTCCTCCTCCTGCTCCTCCTCCTCCTCCTCTCCTCCTCCTCCTCCTCCGCGTCCTCCTCCTCCTCCTCCTCCTCCTCCTCCTCCTCCTCCTCCTCCTCCTCCTCCTCCTCCTCCTCCTCCTCCTCCTCTCCGCCCACGATCGCATCCCTGGTCCACATGCAGGAGTGACCCGGAGGCAAGAGTGACACTTGGTGCGCGGGCTTATAGAGGGGGCCTCGGGGGAGGCCAGAACCAAGCAAACCACGCGCGCCAGCCGGTGCTGGGGAGCCCCCCGTGAGCCCGCACCCAAAGGGTCCCTCGGGCGAAGGGCCACTTTTACGTGCGCGTAGCCGCTTCCCCTCGGCCATATGCCCCGCCGCGGATCCCTGCCTGATGGCCCCAGGGCCCTGCAACGGCCCCCCAGAGGCCCGAAGCATCAGGGAGGCACCACAGGTCGAAAGCGCCACATCGGCGGAGATCGGGGCCTGCGGCGCCGCAGGGCGGATGACGCCCCCGGAGATCCAGCCGTCGTGCTGGGCGCTGGCCATCATGCCGAAGGGGATCCCCCCCTTCAGGAAGCACCTGTGCGAGGGTACCTCGTATGCCCAGGCCTCGCAGCCAGCGCCGCCGGCGCACAGCTGGCAGCACACCTCGGGGCTCTCCACGCCCTCGTGCCACGCGACGTCGTTGCCTGGAAAGTCGTAGTCCTGGAGGAAGGGACACGTAGAAACACAAACCTCCAGAGTGTAATGCTTGACGTTCGATGGCGGTGCCCAAAACACAGAGGGGGAGCACTTTGAGTACACGTGTTCAACAGCTCTCTTCCTTTGAAGGGGCGACCAGAGAATATCACAGATGATGATGGCGATGCGATGACGACGCCCACGAGCCAGCCTGGAGCCCAATGTACGTTTCATCGCCAACGTCGCTCGCTGCTCCGAGACGCCTGCCCCCCCCAGTATTTCTTACCCGTCGTCCTGCATTGTACAGTTTTCCTTAAGCAACTCGTCTGTGAGAGTCCGATGCCCCTTGAGGGATGCCGGGCCCCGAAATCTGCGGACCATCGTGGCAACCTATTGCGGCCCCCATCCTGGCCCCCCATCGTGAACCCGCTCTGCGTATCTGTGTGATGCTGTTCAGGGTCTACCGCCGCAAAGGTGTCATGTCAATCCGTGGCTTCAGAAGTCCCGCCCTCTTCCCCAGGGATAGATCTGCTTCCCCGATCCGATTTTGATGGTCCTGGGGCCCAGAAGTGGCCGCTGAGCACGCTTTGAAGAACACGCGCAGGTTGAACAAATCATGTTGGACATCTGGGGTCCTCGCACCCACTCTCTCGGGGGCGTCCAAGATGGGTTCGTCCAAGAGGGGGCTTCGCAAATCATGGCCTGAGAAACGTGCGCGGCCCAGCGGGAGCCAAGGCACGCATCTAAGTAAGAGGGGCACGGGCATGAAGTCCGGGGAGCAATACCACGGCCCCTCCCATGATCTGCACCCCCCACTTGGTGAGACTTCGGGCGCGCACAAGCAGCCCCCCCCCAGGTAGTCCCGGTGGGCCTCAACAGGAACAGGCACCCTGAGTAGTACGGGGCGGTCCCAACAGCACCGCACCCAGGGGCGCGGACGCCGCCAGAGGCGGCATATAGGGCATTGAGGCCGCCCTGGGCTACTCGGGGGGCCTGCTGAAGCCAGCTGGAACTCGTCCGGGGGGCCCACTGGGGCCAGCCGGGACTTCCTGGGCGGCCCTTCTGCGCGCAACCCAAGCCCTACCAATCCAACCCCCACCGGCCATCACTCCCTCTTGAACAGGAGGGGGATGAGGAAGACGAAAAGGAGCAGGAGGCGGATGAGGAGGAAGAGGAAGGGGAGGAGCATCGAGCACGGAGGAGGGCCGAAAGCCACCCGAAGCCATCCAAGCGCCTTAGAAACCAGACATGCGACGTCTTTCCCAATCAGAGGTTGCCTCTGTAGGGGTCCGAGCGGATTCATATGGTAAGTGAGGTGGGGCGCCGATTTGGTGGCCGGCCGGTGGCCGGGTGCCCGGGTGCCCGGGGGTGCCCGTGGGTGCCTGGTGCCCCAGGATGTCGGTGGCCGGTGGCCGGGTGCCCGGGTGCCGGGGTGCCCGTGGGTGCCCGGTGGCCGGGTGCCCGGGTGCCCAGGTGCCCGTGGGTGCCCGGGTGCCCGGTAAGTCCTATAGCCCTATAGCCCTATGGTCCTATAGGCCTATCGCCCTATAGCCCTATATAGCCACATAGCCTTATAGCCCTGTAGCCCAATAGCCCTGTAGTCCTATAGCCCCAACAAAAATCTGATTGGGGCTATCCTCCGGTATCGTGTGTTTTTGTTTGTCAGGACGGCATCTCTGGAACCCCCCGAGCAGTTACCTGGGACAAGCTTTTCGTCCTGAGTCGTTTTTTGACGGTCCCGAGGCACAGCGAGGGCGCCGCGAGGCCGAGAACTGGCAAAAACCTACCGTCCTGATTCTCTTACGACGCGACCATGTCTGGGAAGAATCCAGTCTGGCGCCCGGTCACCAACTCCTCCTCCTCTTCTTCCTCCTCCTCCTCCTCCTCCTCCTCCTCCTCCTCGCTCCTCCTCCTCCTCCCTCCCCTCCTCCTCCTCCTCCTGCCCTCCTCCTCCTCCCCATTCTCCTCCTCCTCCTCCTCCTCCTCCTCCTCCTCCTCCTCCTCCTCGCTCCTCCTTCTCCTCCTCCTCCTCCTCCTCCTCCTCCTCCTCCTCCTCCTCCTCCTCCTCCTCCTCTTGGCCTCTTGGCCGCCTCCGACTCCCGGCGGTCCTGCAGCACGGGGCCGCACGCGGGGCCCTGCTGCTCCATGATCAGGTCCTCGGTGCCGAGCTCCGCCCGGTGCGGCCGCCGCGCGGCCCCCGCGGCTCCTGGCGGCGGGGGCCGCGGTCGGCCGTAGGGGTGTGGGAGGCTTGCTGGCGTGTGCAGGACGGAGAGGAGGAGAGGGTGAGGGGAAGGAGGAGAAGGAGGAGCGAGGAGAAGGAGGAGGAGGAGGAGGAGCGAGGAGGAGGAGGAGGAGGAGGCGGAGGCGGAGGAGGAGGAGGAGGAGGAGGAGGAGGAGGAGGAACGGAGGAACGGATTTTTCCACTGCGCCGGGTGTGCGCAAGCTCCACAGGCTCCTGGCGGGAGACAGGATCGCGTCGTGACAGAAATATGCAGGACGGGAGGTTTTGGGCCAACAGAAACATGCAGGACAGAAAGATACAGAAATATCCATTCTGGAAACCTTCCTGGAGCCACTCGCTCCACGCGTGCGTCGAAGCTGCGTCGAACGTCATTCGACTAGAGTCGAACCTGAGTCGAACCTGAGTCGAACCTGAGTTGAACCTGAGTCGAACCTGAGTCGAACATGAGTCGAACCTGAGTCGAACATGAGTCGAACTGGAGTCGAAACGAGCGGTTAGGTGGGCCCGAGGAAGGCCCCCAGACATGCGACGTCTTGATTTTTTCAGGACGGCGTCACTGGAAGTCCCGACCCTTTCCCCAAGATCGGGTTCTCGTCCTGAGTCGTTGTTTCACGGCCCCGAGGCCCAGCGAGGGCCCCCGGGGGCCGCAAATGGCCAAAAACCTCCCGTCCTGATTTTTTCTTTACGACGCGCTAGTGTCTGGGCTCCCAAAACGAGCAGCGCATTAGACCTCCCCTTGAGCAGGGACCGACCGTCCGTCCTTGCATTCCTATAGTCCTACGACGAAATGTTCTTAGAACCCGAAAATGTGCTAAGAACACAACCTCTGCTCTTAGAACATAAGCCCGATGTGACAAAACAAGACAGACTCTGCCAGAAATGTTCTAAGAACATTTCGTGGAAGCCACAAAAGGTTCCTAGAACATTGTTTGGTAGGGCTATAGGCGAGCCAGGACGCTTCGCCGCTGCTTGATCCCCCCGCTTCCGAGAAGCCTCCTCAGAAGCCTCCTCAGAAGCCTCCCGTCCCGAGCCGTTGTTTTACGGCCCCGAGGCCCAGCGAGGGCCCCGCCGAAAATAGCCAAAAACCTCCCCCGTCCTGATTTTCGTTTTACGACGCGATCATGTCTGGGTCCCCAAAACGAGCAGCGCATTAGACCTCCCCCCGCTTCCGAGAATCGGGTCGGGCGAAAGGGGGAGATAGCAAAGGGGGGGTTGAGAATCAGCTCACGTAGCTGATTTTCCCGGCGCCTCCCAGCGTCGGAGGCGGCTATGTCTCGAGGAATGGGCCCCTCGGCGAGGCCGAAGCCAGCTGCATGCAGCAAATTTCGTACCCCCCCCTTTCCCCAATATCCCCCGCTTGTCGTCCGGCCCGAGAGAAGCCGCCTGGGAAGCCTCCGACTCCCACGGGTGGCTCTCACACCTCGGCGCGCCTCGGGCGCCCGCTCCTCGGACGACCCCCGAGGCCCCCCTCCCCCCCCCCGCGGAGCGCGCCCTCGGCGCGAGGCGCCGCCGCAGGAGCGCGCCCCGCACTGCGAGAAGCACCTCCAGGAAGCGACGGACGCCTCCGAAGGCTCCCGGCCCCCAGTTTGTCGGAGGAGGAAATGGCACTCCAGATTTCGTAACAAAAGGGAGGGGGTCACAACCCTCCCAGACAAGAAGTTTAGACCCCCCCAGACTATCCATGAAAGGGCGGCCCTTTGCCCAGACCCCCCCGAACCCTCCAAGACAGCTCAAATTAGACCCCCCCCGAATGTGACCCCCCCCACTTTGTTATGGAATCCGGAGTACCCTCTCACCTCTCCCCCCCTCGCCCGTTTTCCTCGTTCTGGTGCCTCCATGGGAGGCCCTCGTCGCCACCGCTGGATTCGCCTCGAGATCCTGGTCAGAACGCACCCCGGGAGAGGTCCAGGGAGCAGCGGTATCGGTGCCTTGCGATTTCCCAAGTGTGGTTTCTGTTCCACGGGAGCCTACTCGGCCCCCGGCGCTGTCCGATTTGGGCCTGACGTGGACCAGATCTGGAACACATCTGACACCAGATGTGCACCAGATTGCACCAGATTCGCCTAGCACAAGGAAGACGAGAAGAGCGAAGAGGGGGAGGAGAAACAGGAAAGGCGAGGAAGAACAGGAGGAAAGGGCAAATGCGGTCCGAATGCGGGGAAAGCCGATTTCAACGTCGCCGCCCAAGGCTCCCACGAACAGACCTTGAATCCCGGCAGGGCTGCCCCGATACGCAACACGCAACCCGCAGCGTGTGGACACGGAGCTCAACACATAAACTGGACACGTACAGTCGGGGCGCATACGGGAGGACACGCGACACGACACGAGGCTCTTCCGACGGTAACACCGCCTCCAACAAGAGCACCCTCAGTCCGAACACTCAGAGCACATGCGAAGAGATGGACAGGACACAAGAGAACCCATATCTTTGCACGGATGCGCCCCGACTGTAGGTCTGGGCGCGTTCGCCAACATGTTGGCCACCACGTGCCGAGCCAACACTCAGCTCGTGAACGCGGACTCCTTGAACACGGCACGTGCTGCGCGTTTCCGCGCGGGCATAAGTCAGGAGAGTCTCCGGTACTGCCTGGCCGCCTGGCCCCTCCCCCCGAAGCTCTAGGCCGGAAATTGAACTCGTCCTTCCCCTCCTTGTCCTTCCCCTCCTCCTCCTCCTCCTCCTCCTCCTCCTCATCGCTCTCATCATCCTCATCATCCTCATGCTCCTCCTCATCCTCATCCTCATCCTAGTCATCATCGTCATCATCATCATCATCATCATCATCATCATCATCATCATCATTATCATCATCATCCTCATCCTCATCCTCATCCTCATCCTCATCCTCATCCTCATCCTCATCATCACCATCATCATCAGCATTATCAGCATCATCATCATCATCATCATCATCAGTATCAGTATCAGTATGAGTATCAGTATCAGTATCATCATCATCATCACCAGCATCATCATCATCATCAGCATCAGCATCAGGCACCCTCCTCTCCTCCGATCATCAGCGGTGGCCGCCGCGGGAGAAAAAACAAAAAAACAGCATTTTCCAAGTATCGCTTGGGGTCACAGCCCGTCAAGACCAGCCCGCGCAGAAAAAACACTGATCCCCCCTATCTGGAGGGCCAGAAGCCCTCCGCGGCTGCAACTCAAGAGCCCCAGGGGTCCTCGGTGAGCGGCGTAGCACGCGCCCGCGAGGGCGAGCGCCGCCGCGCCCGTGGCGAGGGCGCGCCACTGCGCCAGCACGCGGCGGGCCCCGCCGCCGAGGCGCCCCCGCAGCGGCGAGGCGCACCGAGGCTCCGAAAGCGCCGGCGCCGGCCCGGCGTCCCCGCCTCGGCCGCGCGCAGGCGAAGATCTCCCCGACGACAGCGGCGACGACGACCGTCGTCGACGACGACCGTCGTCGTCGTCGTCGTCCTCGACGTCGTCGTCGTCGTCCTCGACGTCGTCGTCGTCGTCGTCGTCGTCGTCGTCGTCGTCGTCGTCGTCGTCGTCGCCGTCGTCGTCGTCGTCGTCGTCGTCGTCGTCTTCGTTGTCGTCGTCGTCGTCGTCGTCGTCGTCGTCGTCGTCGTCGTCGGTGTTCGCACAGACGAACGACGAACGTAAACGGGCCTCACGCAGGTCGAGGGAGCGACGCTGCGAGGTGACCGACGCGGGCCGCCAGCGCGGCACGCCACACCGGAAGCAAGGGCAGCTAAGCGCGACCTCGCGCGGGCAGCTGACGCGCCAATGCCGGCGCAGTCGACACCGTTTTCGTTGCGGCGCTCATGCGTGCGGTCTTTGGTCAACAGGCGCACTTTCTTCGATCCGGGCCCCGGGACCGTCGAACACGGCAGCTTCGCCGCAGCGCGGCCAAGAGGCAGCTCGCACGCGCGCGCGCGCGAAAGCCGGGCAACGAGATCGCTGACTGTCTGGCGGCAAGAGCTTGAGCAGGGACCGACCGTCCCGGCATTCCTTTAGTCATACCACGAAATGTTTTAGAACCCAATAATGCTCAATAATAAAAACGATGTCCTTAGAACATTAACTCGATGTGTTAAACCGAAACAGTCTCAACCAGAAATGTTCTAAGAACATTTCGTGCATACCACAAAAAGTTCTTCGAGCAGTGTTTGGTGGGGCTACAGGCGAGCCGGGACGCTCCGCCCCTGCTTGAAGAGCGAGAAAAAGGGGGGAGGGGGCGGCCGCGGGCCGGGGGAAGGGAGGGAGGGCGCTCACGCGGCGGGAGCCGCAGCGCACCGGCCGGGGCGGCCAGCCAGTGCTGTGCCCCTGGCAGCGGGCGCGGGGCGGCAAGTGGGGCCCCAGACACTCGGGAGCGGCCCAGAGGGGGGTGTCCAAGAGGGGGGAGGGTGCAAATCATGACCGGGGGCATGTGCGCGGCCCAGCGGGGGGACCAGGGACGGAATGAAATGAGAAGGGGCGCCATGAAATCTAGGGAAATATCATGGGCCCCGCCATGATATCCACCCCGCCTAGTCATCACCCCCCTCTTTGCCGCCCCCGAGACATGTGCCGCCCTGATTTTTCAGAATGGCGTCCCTGGAAGTCCCGACCCTTTCCCCAAGACCGGTTTTTGTCGTCCTGCATGCCATCGATGTTGGGACGGTCCCCCGAGGCCTGGCGAAGGTCCCCCCCGGAGCCGAAAAGAGCTAAAAGCCTGCCGCCCTGAGTTTCTTACGACGCAGGTCCGGGGCCGTCAGACACAGATCCGGGGCGGACATCTACCCCCCCCCGGGGGGAAGCGGCAGCTGGACCTCCAGTCGGCGGTGGACAAACCTCCCTTTAGTAAGCCTCCCCTTCATGAAAACGGCCTGGGACCCAAACCGACCGACCTGGACCCGCAAAAATGACGGCCGCGACGCCCTCTCGCGAACCGAAGACGGCCAATTCCTTAATCGACGTGTCAGGGTAGGAGGTCGATCCGCCTCCGATCCAGGGCCGCGGACGGATCAAAAGCGCACACCGGGCGCGTGCCCAGGCAGACCTGCAGCCCCTCTGACTGCGCGCCGCGGCGGCCTTCGCGTGCGCGCCTCGTGGGGGCCGCGCGGCCCAGAGAGCCCTCACGAGCGGCGGGCGTCTCTTCGTGTCCGCGCCCTTGCGGTTCTGGACTCCGGGGCGCGATCCCGTGGATATCAGGGGAACGAAGAACGGCAGAATCATACAATCTCCGAGGTCCGCGCGGATTTCTCGGATCGGCGCTGGACCGCCCTGGCGGCGCCTCCGGCGCCGCCCCTGGCGCGCCACGCGCGCCAGGGAGAGGGGTCCAGCGCCGATCCGAGAAATCCGCGCGGACCTCCGAGATTTTATGTTTATGGCATTCTTCGTTCCCATTGGATAGTCGGGGATCTTCTGACTCGGGTCAATCCAAAGCGACGTCCTGATTTTTCCAGGACGGCGTCCCTGAAAGCCCGACCCCTTCCCCGGAACCGGTTCTTCGCTCTGAAACCTTTTCTGACGGCCCCGAGGCCCGGCGAGGCCCCCCCGGGGCCGAAGCGAGCCCACAAAAAAACCCGCCCTGACTCTTTCGCGACGCGATCCCGTCTGGGGTCGGAGGAGGAGGAGGAGGAGGAGAAGGAGGAGGAGGAGGGGGAGGAGGAGGAGGAGGAGGAGGGAGGAGGAGGAGGGAGGAGGAGGGGGAGGAGGAGGGGGAGGACGAGGAAGTGGGGTGCCCTCCGCGTGGGGCGTCCGCGCGCGCGGCGGCGGCGCCGACGCGGCGCGCTGCGCCCCGCAGTACATATGGCGGGCTGCGTGCCGCTCTCGCTCTGCTCCGCGGGGCGTGCGCCTTCTATAAGGGCAGGGGCGCGGCGATTGGCGCGGGGGGCCGACGCGCGGCGGACCAGCACGGGTGGCGCGACACGCCGAGCAGACGCTACATGCAGACGTGCTCCCAGACATCGGGCGTCTCGAAAAAATCGAGACAAAGGTTTTTCATCGTTTTCGGCCTCTGGAGGCCCTCGCCGGGCCTCGGGACCGTCAAAAAACGACTCGGGATGAAAAACAGGTCCCGGGGAAGTGGTCGGGAGGTTGGGGGCCCGTGTCTCGAAAAAATCGAGACGTCGGATGTCTGGGCTCGCGTCGTGCAAAGAATCTGGACGGGAGGTGTTTGGGTATCTTCGGCCCCGGGGGGCCCTCGCCGGGACCGTCGTGCAGAAGACGACTCATGCAGGACGAAGAAGAGGTGCCGGGGAGAGCGTCGGGACTTCCAGGGGCGCCGTCCTGGAAAAGCCACGCCGCATGCCCGGGAACGCAGCGGTGGGGCCTTCGGTGCGCGGTTTTGGGGGGCCTCGCGGCTCCTGGACCCCCGCCGCGCCGCGAAACAAAGAAGACACGACTGGAGGCTTTTGGCAGTCGTCGGACTCGCGGAGCTCGCCATCGCTCGGGCGTCCCTTCCCCCGTGCATTTTGGGGTTCCGTGCGCGTTTCTTCCCGCACGAGGATCCAAGATGCTCCTCGATGGTCCTCGGCGAGAAACAAATGCACGCGTCCGAGCGAATGTCACGAGGGGCCCTTTGCCCCTTGCTGGGCACCGGGGCCACCCCAGAACGGCAATTGCAGGAGGCAGAGGCGGTCCCGGGAAAGGGGCCCGCATAGGCGTCCGGGGGGCTCACGCCGCGAGGAAGAGATCGCGACGTCGGGGGGGCAGCAGGACGTCAGCCAGGCCAGCGCTGGGTCCCGAGTGACCTGTTGTTCCAGGGTCGCCTGGGACGCCCGAGCATTGCTCTGACCAGCCAACCGCGAAACTAGACAAGACGAAGCTAGGACGAGGATAACTTCGGGTGAGGACAAATCGAACATCTCTGAGGTCCGCTGGTGTTCCGGAATACTCTGGGAGCCTTCTGGAACGCTCGGGAGCGGGTTTATCCTCGTTGCAGCCCCGTCCGAAAACAGCGAGGCCAGCGATGAGTCCCAGGTGAACTGTTTGAGTGTCGTCAGGGACGCCCGATCGCGGACCTGACCAATCAGCCGTGAAACCAGAACCTCAGGGCCATCAGGGCCACCATGAATCAGGCCCGTGCCTGGGCCTCCCGCGCGTCGCCCGAAAGGACTTCGCCAGACCGATCGCAGACCAAAGATTCTCTCCGATCCCGACGGGGAGGACCCCTGCCGGCCCGCACCGGAAAGGTGCCACTCCTCTTGCGCACTAAGCCAGCCGCCAGAGTCCGTGGCGCTGGCCGTCGAGTAGCCCGCGCGGACCGACGCCCAGCGCACCTGAGAGCAGATGGAACTTTTCGACCCCAGCGTTGTTCCTTGAGCTCGACTTCTTGGGGGGGGCTTCCAACAGTCGAGTAGGAGATCGACTACATAATCGAACTGGCTTGTTCGTCGAATCTTCAAATCGGCACCGTGTTCGTAGATCTACCAACATTGAACGATTTGTTGTGAATTCCACGAAGATTTCAGCTTTGGAACATATCAGCTTATGCATTCAACCCGTAATGCAGTTCGGGGTCCAGGCGGGATACTTATTTGCACCCTGAGATATCTATGTTAGGATGTCTGGATCGGTCATGAAGATCAGTCTTCAAGAGTCTCTATGATCCTTCTAGACGGCCTCTTTGGAGATGCGGTAAGAGGACAACTCCTGTGAAATACTGTGGTGACGTGGTACATGCTCGCGACAGCTGCCTTTTGCGAAAACCTGCGGTTGAATTGAGGCAGCATCGGAGCAATGATAGTGACGAATTCGGCACATCTCCGGAACTGCTGCGTTTAGCCGGAGACATCCTCAGAAGATGACAGTGAGGATCATTCATGGTGTTTTGCATGTGATGAAGATCAAAATTGCGATAAAAACTCTGGAAGGAATAACCTCCCAGCCTGCTGCGGCAATCGAACCACATTCAATCCCGTGCATTAGAAGATACAACAAGGTGAAGGGTTGGGGATGCTTTACTGTCCGGTGGATGGGGCTCAGGATGCCAAGGCCTTCGAAGGCCATGCCGACACTTTGTGAGCGTTGCGCCGCCAGCGAAGGCGGCCAAGGATGGGCCGAAGGGGAAGGATGCAAGGGCAACCTGGGAAAGTTGCATATCCCCTACTCGAGCAGTGCGAGCCCAGACAGCCAGCGCCTCGAAAAGATAGGAGCGGCAATGGTTCTCGCCGCTCGGGGGCCAGTCCTCGGCCGCGGGACCAACGAGAAGACGGGCTCCCGGGGTGCGAAACGGGCCCCGGGGCAGGGGTCGAGAAGCGTCAGATGCCTGGGAAACGTGTCCTGTAGAGGAGTCACCGGACATGCGCTGTCTTGATTTTCCAATACGGCCGGACTGGGACAGAAGAGCATCCTGCAAGAGCATCAGACCCTCCGCTGGCCAAACTGAAGAGCACTCGAGGGCACCCTCCCCCAGGACGCACGAACATCCAACAGACACGAAGAACATTGGGGCAACCTCCCCGAACCGATCTCGACCTTCTACCTCGGTCCGACCCTGCGGCGTCTTTAGAAGCCCCGACCCCTTCCCCCGGACCGGTTGCTCGTCCCGAGTCGCTTCGTCGACGGTCCCGCGGCCCCGCGAGGGCCCCCGGAGGCCGAGATTGGCCGAAGACCCCCCCGTGGCATTTTTTGTTGCGGCGCGGTCGTGTGTTGGGCCCTGGGCTCTGGTCGCCCAGAGCGTTAGAGGACGGCCCGAGACGCAGAGCTGGCCTTCGGGGGGAAGCCCAAGGAGTCCAGCCCGCTCCTCTTGGTGCCCCCTTCCCTTCCCAGACACCCGATGCCCCGATGTTGCTTTCCGTACGTGTGACTGGCCCATTTTCCACCACCACTACCATAGGTAGGAGAGGGAGGAGGAGGAGGAGGAGGAGGAGGAGGAGGAGGAGGAGGAGGAGGAGGGGGAGGAGGAGGAGAACCTCCTCATCCTCCCTTCTCCCCCGTCTACATATGGTAGCGGTAATGGAAAATTTGCCCACCACCGTGGGCCCGCCCCCCCGGTGTCCGGATCAGATCTGTTCCCCAGGGCAGGCTTTGCCGACCGAGGTGTCCCCTGAGATCTGCCGACCTGGCTGTCTCACCCCGCGGCCCCAGGAGTCACGACCGCTTCCCCGGGGACAACTTGTCCTCCCAGGTCCATGTGTGCAGGGCCCAGGACGGCCTCGGAGGCCCGACCAATAGCAGGGAACAGCCACCGCGGGGTTGGCAACAACCATGCCATGTCTGGGGAAGCCAAACGGCACCCATGACGCTACAGTCGGAGCGTTGACCCAAGGAACCCTACATAAGGAACGAGGCCCCTTAGATCCAAAAGTTGGACTTCGATTTCCCATCGAAAACCAAAGCAAAACCCAAGGCAAACTGTGAAGCAATCAAGGAACACGGAGCCCCTCCCCAACGCAAAGGGTTCCTTCTTCAGGGCCTCGACTGTACTCCCCGGACCTCTCCTGGGGGGCGTTCTGACCAGGATCTCGAGGCGAATCCAGCCGTGGCCTGCGATGGCCTCCCAGGAGGCCCCAAAAAGTTTAAGAAAGGAGAACGACGGAGCGCACCGGTATGGGTACCTCTTCCTCCTCTGAATGTCGTCGGGGGCCTGGGTGTCTTGACGGTCCCGGAGCTGAGAGCCGGAGGCCGAACACTGCGGAGAGCATACGCCCCGACTCGACTTCCTCCAAGAGCCATGATCTCTATATATATATATATACTTATACACAAAAAACACCCTCGTAATAATCAACCCGACATGCGAAGCCGTTTAGTAAACGCACCCAAGGAATCGAACGAGGCAGGGCTGTTTAGTAAACGCCCAGGGCCGCTCAACGCCGATTATCGGGTCCGGGCGGTCTTTCCTCCCTTGATTTCTGTTATTCGGCCGCGCCCCCCGCCCCCCTCCGATTCCCCGGTCACGCCCGTGCATCGCCGGGGGGTAAAAACAACGAAGACAAAACCTCTCGTGCGTTGGCAGAACTGGGTTCGGTGGGGCCTGGTTCGTAGTAGTGATACGTACTGGGGGACCCCCCCCCGCCCCGCTCTTCTGACCAGAACTGCCGTCACCCGAAAAAAAGCACCAGCTACGGCATTCTGGCCAATTTCGGGGCTCTGGGGCCCTACTACTTACCGGGTCCCCTTACCTGCGGTCCTGGCTGTACCCGATCCTCTGCCTGGACGGCTGGACAAAGCAACATGAAATCAACAAAACAACAAAACCAGAAACATACCCAGACATGCGCCGTCCTTTTTTTCAGGACGGCGTCCCTGGAAGTCTCGACCCTTTCCCCGGGACCGCCTTCTCGTCCTGAGCCGTTTTTTGACAGCCCCGAGGCCTGGCGAGGGCCCCCCCGGGCCGAAAATGGCCCAAAACCTCCCGTCCTGACTTTTTTTCACGACGCGAGCATGTCTGAGAATCCATCTGCCCCGACTTTCCCCAGAACGCTGGACGTCTGGGCTTCACGGCGAGCACCGGCGGCCCCGCCGCCACCGGCTCGGCCTCCACGTCGCCCAGCTCGGAGTCCGTGCCGCTGGCCGGCGAGTAGCCCGCGCGGACGGGCGCGGGGCGCTCGGCAGCCATGGCCCCCCAGCGCATGGCTCCCAACCCAGATCTCCGACGGCCTGACCTTTGTCAACCCAGCAGACACAAGAACGGAACAGGCATAAACTTTTGGCGCTCCGCGCGGATGTCTCGGAGGTTGTCGGCTCTAGTTTGCTGTTGTCGATGAGTAGGCCCGCGCCCCGGACTTACGACTCGCCGTGTGCGCCTTCGCCCGCGGCCGCGACAAAAAAAAGCGGATGTCTCGGATCTGCGCTGGGCCCCCCTCCCTGGCGCGCGGAGCGCACTACGGACGTCGCCGGAGGCGCCGCCAGGGGGGGGGGGCCCAGCGCAGATCCAAGAAGTCCCCGCGGAGCGCCAGAAGGCTATGGTTATGGCGTTTTTGAGCACCGTGCAGCCGGCCCCCATCCCCATATGGGCGTGGCCTGTGCCCTATACTGGCCGATTTGCCCCCGTGGATGGGGATGCAGGCGGATTCCTTCGGGTCGCGAGGGGCATACAGTCGGGGCGTTGACCTGAGGAACCCTAAATAAGGAACGAGGCCCCTTTTTGTCCATAAGTTCAACTTCGATTTCCCATCGAAAACCAAAGGAACACATAAGGCAAGCAGTGAAACACTTCAGGAACACGGAGCCCCTCCCCAGCGAAAAGGGTTCCTTCTTCGGGGCCCCGACTGTATGCCCACATGGGGTGCTGAGACGGTGGGGGCCTGCATCGGGATGGAGATATGGGGGGCTGGGGCCGTTGCAACGGTGCTGAGCTTTCCCTTCCTCGACAGCCAGCGATCGTTCTTCGAGCTTTCGGCCCGCGGGGGCCGCCCGCTGGCCCCAGGGCCGCCCAAAACGCCCCTCGGGAGCGGCAGGCGGCTGGCCCCCCGGGGGCAGGGGCCGGGCCATTCCGTGCCGCGGCTCGAACAAGTCACGCCGTCGGATGCCGGAGAGGACCTCTGGCGTCGTGGGTCTTTGTTTTTCCGATGCCGACGCGATTCATGAGAGCAGCAGGAACCACCAGCACCAGAACTCCGTACTCGGCACCCCGGGCCCAGCCCCAACGCAGCGAAAGGGATCTCAAGGAGCCATTTCCTCGGGAGCCGTCTGGGACATTGGCAATCAAAGCCCTGGGAGCTGAGCTGGTCGCCGAATGATCTGGCTCCTGAAACCGTCGGGGGCCTCAGAAGGGAACGGGGGGGGGCGCCCCGGAGAGCGGGCCCCATGAAGGGACGGAGTCCAGTTGCTCTAGGGGCCCGCGTGTGGCCAAAGAAGCTGCCGCAGGTGCTCTTTCTCTTGCGCCTCATCGTCCTCTTCACCGTCCTCGTCCCCGTAGTCGCCCTCCTGCTGCTGCTGCTGCTGCTCCTCCTCGTCGTCCTCCTCCGCCTCCTCCTCCTCCTCTTCCCCCCGTCCTCCCTCTCCTCCTCCTCC